CTATAATTTTATGATGTTTTTTTGTTTTTTGTTTTTATCTATTATGATGACTTGTCGTATTCGTTCTCTCTCTCTCTCTCTCTCTCTCTCTCTCTCATATTTTTGTATTTTCACTATTTCTTCTGACCTAGTAATTTTTTCTTTCTCTTACTTTATTCTTAACTCTCTCATTATCTTTATTCTTTTACCTTCTACCATCTTTTCTCTCCTTCCTGCTTCACCTTCACCATCCCTCTTTATCTTCTCAACCACTACTCTTTATCCCTCCATTATCCCACCCTCTCTCCACCCATTCTTCCTTCCACCCCTTCTATCAAACCTTCCTTCCACCTCTCACACCCAGCCTTCCCTCCACCTCCCTACCTTTACTGTACTTACACCCTTCCCCCCATCTCTTAACACCCAACCTTCCCTCCACTTCTCACACCTAGCTTTCCCTCCATCTACCCTTCCTTTCACTTCCCTCCCTCCATCCCCGGCATCAACAGAGACGCACTTCAAAGCCTCGCCCCAGAAGACCGGCGTCCATCTTGGAAGGAAGGGAAAGCTGCCGCCAGCGTCGCAACATTCATAAACAAGTTTGTGTACATGATTCTGAGGCAGCCAGGCGTGTCACTGGCTTCACTGCTCGCATGCAACACCCCAGTATGTGTGTGTGTGTGTGTGTGTGTGTGTGTGTGTGTGTGTGTGTGTGTGTGTGTGTGTGTGTGTGTGTGTGTGTGGTTATCAATTTCCTCCCCTGGTCTTCTTCCCTCTTCTTAATCTCGTCTCAGTGTGATTGTTTACACATCCACCTCTTACGACTCTCCTTCCTATTTCCTCTCCGTTCTCTCTTTCTCTACACACCAGTAGCAGACGATTCTCCTCCTCGTGTTCGTCTGTTTCTCTTCCTTTGCTTCTTCACGTTTTTCTTCCTAATCTCTTACCATATATCTGCATCTTACCCAAAGCAATAGCTCTCGCTGCTTCTGTTCCTCCTGCTGTTACACACCATCCCTGCTGGGCGTCCAACAGCAGCAGAAGAGTGAGAGCAAGTGAGAGAGAGTGTGAGAGAGAAGAGAGGGGAGAGGGGAGAGAGCGAGGGCGAGCGAGCAGGAGCACAGAAGGTAATACACCCGCTTAATATTGCAAGTTTAATATCGTGGTGGTAGTGGACAGTGAGCTGGCTGTGGGGGGCTTTATTAAACTCAACACGGCCTGATGGACGCAAGCCTAATATCAGCGAGCTGCACTACGATCAAGTCAAGAGCTAATATTACATTCCTGAAACATCTCGTGGGTAGGTATGCAAGCCATTACGATATATTAGCAGGAGACCTAAGGCCTTCCCCACTACAGGGAGGGAGAGAGGGAGGGGGAAGGGAGAGGAAGAGAGAGAGAGAGAGAGAGAGAGAGAGAGAGAGAGAGAGAGTGAGTGAAGTTGGGAGAGAGGGAGGGTTTAGGGAGGTGAGGAGGAGACAGGAGGAGGGGTTCCTCTATTTCCGATGTAGTTCTCTCTTTTATATCCGTCTGCGGAGGAAAGCTGGCAGGGAGTACAGGGAGGAGTGGGGTCTGGGGAGAAGGAGAAGTGGATAGGGAGGAAGGAGGGACTAAGGAGAACTGGTCTGGAGGCTGGGGGGTTTGTTTATTATTGGTATCTCACCACTTCATTAGCACGGGACACGAGGTCTCCGACGAGGGGGTGAACAGGCTCTTCTGGACGAGGCCAGGGAGGAGGAAGGGAGGCGTAGAAGTGAGAGTCATGGATGTTTTGAGAGAGAGGAGTGTGTGTGTGAAGTAAGTGTGTGCACACAGTATGTGTGTGTGTGTGTGTGTGTGTGTGTGTGTGTGAGTTGTGCACGGGTACAGTATGTGTGTGTGTGTGTGTGTGTGTGTGTGTGTGTGTGTGTGTGTGTGTGTGTGTGTGTGTGTGTGTGTGTGTGTGTGTGTGTGTGTGTGTGTGTGCGTGCGTGCGTGCGTGAGTAAGCGAGTGTGTTCACGGCGGGCAGTTTACACAGGTCATCTGGTTTATTAGTAATACAAATAGAGCCAAGCACATAATGCCTGTTTGTACGCAGCCATATTTGATGACAGCATAATTAACTGTTAAATGGATAACAAATATTGGAAGGGAAAAGTAATCAAATGTGCTGCATTTTTTAACGTTTACATGACTGAAGTGATGGTAGTGAAACTATTATGTTAGCACTGGTAATACATCACAGTTTTCGTGGTGTTTCGTTCTTTTTTTTTCTTCCGTGAGAGATCGTCTTTTTTGTTTTGTTTTCACGTGAGTATAATACAGTATTATCCAGCCTCTGTTGAGCCTCAAGACTGACGTTATTAAACTCAGCATGAAATTGCGCCTGTGATATGCTTAGTTGGCTCTTAACTGGCTATTAAGCCTCGAGACATCACCAATTCCAGCTTAGAACGACCAGCGAAATGTTCAACACACTCAGATTGGTTTGTTGAGTCTTCACACACTACCAGCACCATCAATGACGTCATCAATCAACTGTGTGGTTGCCGAGCCTTAACACGTCATAAAGTCTCGCCAAATGACACGCCTCAGTTCACCTGATTGGTAGTCGAGTCTTATTGAGGTGAGAAAAAAAAACCACTTTTTGTAATTACCAGTGACATGTACAGCTGACTGAGTGCGTGATACAGTACCTCACCTTCTCTAACTACCGATGATAGTTTTTGAGTTGTGATACATGTTTAGCTTAAAGCGCTGCTCTCTCTCTCTCTCTCTCTCTCTTTGTAATACACGTTTAGCTGGAAGCATTGCTCTCTGTCTTCTTAACTCTGGTACTAATGGACGTATTGAAGTGAAACCTCGTATATAAATGGTAGCTCTTGCCTCCAGCCTGGTAGGTCGTCCACATGCCCCGGCAGGGTGAACACTAACACACACACATGTATGCCCACCGGAGGTTAATTGTGTGCTGGTGAGAATGAAATATCACTCAGTCCTGTCGACGCATCACAAAAGTAATTCAGATTGATTGGTCCCTGAGCTTTTAAGTCAGTTCGCCACGCCTGCTTCTCGTCCATTAGTACTATAGAGGTGCATGATTGGTCAACGGCATGATACGTCACATAACCCCGCCCACGGCCGTATAGGTCAATCCAATAAGGGAATATTTGGCCTCTACTGGTTAAAACAAAATAGAGTAAATGTTTTGATAATTGTATGTCACATAGTTTGTAGACAAACGTCAAATAAACCACTGGCAGAACTCAATTAAACTCCACTATATAACAAACTATATCAATATAATAAAACAATAATATGCATTTTTTAAACTACAATAAATACGGATTAATCAAAACACGCAGCCTACGTCAGCCCCGTCAACTTTTAATTATACAAAACTTATTACATCCCAAACATTAATTACTAATCACGAATTGTTAGGCGAAGGTTATTATTCTAAAAACAGCGTCACAATCACCAGCTTATATAAAATTAACAGCTTTAATCACAAAGGCCTCTACAAGAGTCAGCAGGCCTCACAAGCCTGACCTCTGGAGCCCGCGCCTCACACGGTCGACAATCCCCTCCCAGCCCGGCAGGAGCGTCGACCTTAGAGACTGGTCAAGTGGAGGACTGTCTTGTCGCCACGCACATAATCTGGCCCGACATGTTTCTAGCGCGAACAATACTCGACTTAATCAAAAGCCGTACGAGTTTCGTCAGTCCGGCCAACCTCGATAATTAGACTGGTGCAACGCCTGGCGCGCGTTCTCTCGTATTCCACCAACTCGTGGCTGGATCTCTGTGAACCCCGTGAGTGCCAGAGAACGCCCGGGGAGCCTGAGTGAGCGAGCTCACCCAGTGAGGGGTCGGAGAGGGTGAGGTAACGGTGGGTGATGTTATTGAATTTTATATAACATTAATCTACCTTTCCTTCTCTTGAGGGCATTACACTCCTGGGTGTTATTTACTGTGCAAAGATTAATTAAGATAAAGATCTGCCCTTCAATTACCCAATGTTTGCCGGGTTGCGCTACAAAAACCTAATCAAACTGGGCTGCAGACGCACAACCACTCACACGACAATGCTCCCGGAATGAGGAAGAAGGGAAAAAAGAGAAATGAAAGAATGAAAAAATAATTAAAAAATACGACACACGTTAAGTAAGAATAGTGGCGAGTATCGCCTTAACTTTGGTGGTGGTGTGACTGGTGACTCAGGGGGGTGTATGAGGGAGTGTAGGAGAAGGATTGTATTGAGAATGACTTCACAGTAAGGAGGATGACTTCAATTCACGAGGGGTGACTTTACTTAATAAAGGATGACTTCACTTAATGAAGGATGACTTCATTTAATGAAGGATGACTTCAGTTAATGAAGGATGACTTCACTTACCGAAGAATGACTTCAGCTTATGGATGATGACTACCTCCAGGAGATCACATCCCCTTACACTCCTTGATGGGGTGACTTCAGTTTACGTGAACATGACCCACTTTAAGGGGGGTGAGGTTACGTTACTGAGGAATAAACACTATGTGGGGGTAAATGTACTTATACGGATAAGTTTACCGATGGGGATAATTAATAAATAACAGTGGGGGGGGGGATCCCAATTTAGGGAAAGACTCACTTACGGAAAATAACTATTACACGGGGGTTAACTTCACTATGGGGTATTTCTTCCCTTTTCTGGGATGAATCATTTTCCTCTCTGGGGTTACGACTTGGCCTCATGGGGGAAAACTTCCACTTATTGTAGTTACGTTTGAATTCACCTATAATGAGAGCTGCTCGTGCAATAACAAGGGGAGTAAATTACGAACACTTAGGCAGTGAACGAAACTTTGCGCTATTTCATTATTCCAATCATGGGAGTGAAATACAGCGCAAATTACCAAAGGCTTTGGTTTAATACCTTCCTCACTACACTTAAGAGACCCAGAGGAAGACTATAAATGTAACGATACGAAGACCTGGGTTGAATGTAATGTTTATATCCCTGTCTACTGTGGTGAGGTAATAGTCTGTACTCACACTAATCGATGCCAAGACACCTGATGGTCCTTCCAACACCTGGCCACCAGTCGACTGTACCTGGAATGAGAAATGAGAAGAAAAAATTTGAGTTTCACAAGACACAAAGGAGAGCTGAGGACTGGACATTTGATGTACTGACTGACTTAAGTATATAAAAAAAACATGTATGAGAAAATCCCATGTAATTCAGTACAACTCTCTCTCTCTCTCTCTCTCTCTCTCTCTCTCTCTCTCTCTCTCTCTCTCTCTCTCTCATATCTTTCGTACACAAAATTAACAGACTTTTAACAACTTTACGAATACGTTTTACTTCACTTCTTTCAATTATATTTACTGGGTGAATAAAAGAGATATTATGGCTAAAGCACACAAAGATTTCCATAATAAACTACAGTTGAAGATCCAAACCTGGGTAGGAACAGCCTGGTAGATCACAGGTGTTCCGGAAGAGGAGGTTACCTGACTGGCACGCCCCCCCACACACACAGAATTATAACACTGCATAAGTCCATCTGTTATCCATTGTTGATCTCAGAGTCTTGGTGTGTATACGATATAACCTACAACTGTAGATTGTATTACCGCATAATTAAGATATTGACAGGTGTAAGGCGCTAACTGAACAGAGAAACGGCTTGGTTTCTCTGTGCTTAAACGTCTCAATAATCTATTCATTTTAATCTCATATTTACACGAGTATAATAATAATAATAATAATAATAATAACAATAATAATGATAATAATAATAATAATAACAACAATAGTAACAACAAGAGCAACAACAAAAACAGCAACATTAATAATAATAATAATAATAATAATAATAATAATAATAATCATCTACGAGAGAGTCACGGTTCATATCACCAGTCCGATGTAAGATTATAGTTTATCTACACTTTTTCTCACTTTATCAATACATTCATCACATTATTTTAATTAGACTCAATATGTCAGCATCCTCGCAATGAAGTGTAATCAGCAGTGAACAGTGAACACTTTTATGGTGAATTTAATTATCACTTAAAGATTAAACGCCCAAGCTTATGTCACCAGAAGATTAACTAATATGTCGGTTACCAAGGGGCTTAGGTTAGGTTAAGTTAAGTTAAGTTAGGTTAGGTTAGGTTAGGTTAGGTTAGGTTAGGTTAGGTTTGGTGAAATAAGCTGCGGTGGTTAATCTTCAGGTGACCTCAATTTATAATAAGTAATCACAGTTAATAGTTATAGTGTGATAAGAATCTAGGACATGTGTGTGTGTGTGTGTGTGTGTGTGTGTGTGTGTGTGTGCTTGACTCTCGGTTGGGTGTGGACGATGGTTTACGTGTGGAGAGGGTCAACGTGTAATAATAATAATAATAATAATAATAATAATAATAATAATAATAATAATAATAATAATAATAATAATAATAATAATAATAATAATAATAATAATAATAATAATAATTAACGGTTTATTAAAGAGCTTGGCAGCCAGAAGGCTGAAAATATACAGTTACATAATTGGGGAATGGGTTTCGAATTACAAATAATATACAAGTAACATAAGTGATACAAATAAGATATATAATAACTAGATGGGGAAAAGCTCAAACTACAGTGCATTTCAACATAGTGACAGTGCAAGAAGTAGTATTTACTGGGAGTGAATACACTGGTTTATTACAAGTTATTGATAATTTTTACAATGGTTGGGACTGGGCTGTTCTTATAGCGATCAGTTCGTGCACGTATGAGCTGGATGCGGTTGTGGTGTCGAACAGCAATTCTCGGGCTAGGGATCTCAGGTGGTAGTAGGAGCCGGTGTCGAGGATGGTGTAGAAGCTTCTTACCAAATTTGCAGATGAGGTCGTGGTGATGGTCAGTGAGAGTCGAAAGGGTCAGTGTGTTGAGCGCTTCTTAATATGTGGAGTAGGAAGGGGAGAGAATAATCTTGCATGCCCTCTTTTGCACTTTTTCTAGGTGTTTACGTTGTGTGGCATTTAGGGAGGAAGACCAGGTAGGGGAGGCATAGGTGAGCTTGGGAAGTATGAATGTTGTGTAAACACTGAGGAGCTCGGGTGCAGGAACTCCGAGGGACTTGAGTCGGCGGAGGAGGTGGAGACGGAAACTGGAGGATTTGACAACTTCACTGACGTGTGGTTTCCAATTTAGTTTGTTGTCTATGGTGACGCCGAGGAGCTTCGTGGAATCTACAACCTGGAGTGTGTTCGGACCTAAAGTAATGGAAGGAGGTGGGACAATATCGGAGGAGAGGTTGATGTGCATAACCATGGTCTTGGTATGGTTGATGGTGACATGGTTGTTGGTGGCCCAGTTTTGGAGACTGTTCAATAAATCCTGAAGGGCGGTATAGTCGGGAGCAGAATTGTTGACGCTGATCCCAATAGTGGAGTCGTCGACATATTTCCAGCGAGCAGGGGTTTCTCTTAGGGCATCATTGATGAGCATAAGGAAGCAGAGTGGTCCCATCTTGGTGCCTTGGGGGACGCCACAGGTGAGTGACTGAAAGGTGGAGACAGCCCCTCGGAAGCGTACAGCTTGGCGTCGGTCACTGAGGAAGTCTGAGTGGGTCTACGTGTGGGTGTGGGTCTACGTGTGAGTGGGCTTGGGTGTACGTGTGGGAGTAGGCGTGGCTCTACAAATGGCCATGGGCGTGGGTCTACGAGTGATCATGGGTGTGGATTTATGTGTTGGAGTGACCGTGTGTCAACGTATGGGCGTGGCCGTGGGTCTACGTAGGAGCGTGGGGAATCATCTCCCCCAAAAAAGTCCACGTTCTCAGGTAAACCAACAAGAGTAAACCAAAGTTCAGTTTACCTGCCGCCCGCCCCTAAGCACATTAATTAAGGTATGTCGCCAGGTAGACATCATCACCTGGTAAACTCGAGGTCAGGTATACTTTCCCGGCTCAGGTTCCATCTATCGGGCTACATGGAGGGTCACAACAAGGTACTCAGATGGTCTACTAAATACTACTAATTATTACACCTGTTAAGACACCTTTGCATGTGTACAGGTCTGGACTCTGGTTAAGGTCTGGGGACACATCCAATATATGCCTAACTGTCTGTACTTAAATACACTACAATTACTGTCATAAATTTGTCCATACGTTTGGATATGTATGTATGCCCAATGTGTGTATATCTGTAAAGCGAGAGGACCTGAGTTCGATCCTCGGGCAGGGTGAAACTATGGGCAAGTTTCTTTACGCCATTTGCCTGTCTACCCAGCAGTAATTGGGAACCTGGATGTTAATCGATTTGCGGATCGTATTCCGGGGTAATGGTTAGCCAGTGCAGTTGGCGAGTTGTCCGGTCTTCTCGGACTATTCCTTGACACTGGGTCATGCAGCTCGTTAACTTGGGGTGTGGTTGTTGTGTTGGCGACACCTTCTACACCTTAACAAATTCACACCAAGGAGGCCCTTGGGCCGGCCATCCTCGATTTCGAGGGGCTTCAATTATTATTATTAATACTACATATACGTCTCCCATATCGATGATAGTTATACAGGACTTGTCAGCGTACTTAGCTATTTCCTGCATAAACGCCTGTACACACACACACAGCTGACCATCAGAATATCGACGTCTCCATATCTTCCCACGTCAGTCTTTAAGCTTCCTCCTCCTCCTCCTCCTACATCCAACACCCTCACCCACTCCTCACTCCTCCTCAAGCTGCTACCATATATATTTCTCAAATTCCATCTACATCTAAGTCGCAATTTTCCGCTCTATCTATTCCTCACCCGGGGGCTCCCTCCCTCCCTCCCTTTCCGAGATGCTCCCTACCAACCACCACTCCCTCCTCCCCCACAACTTATCTCGCAGTAAAAAATCCCACAACACCCTGCTTCCTGTCTAACCGTGTGGGTAGTTGTTTAACATTACGCATCTATTGCCTTACTAAACCATCCTCCTCCTCCTTTATACAACTATCCTCACTTATCCACGTTGCTATCCAAGTACAACCCTACTTTAGTGCCAGGACAGTGACCCACTGACTCTCCTCCGTCTGATACAACCTCGCTTTAAGACCGCTAGTGACCCATCAACCCTTCTTCATACTTTTCCGTCTACAACAGCCTCCTCGTGCGGCCGACTCACTGACCCATCCCCCACGTTTACTCACTCCCCCCTTCCCACTACGCCCTCGCTGTTAGTTGTGACCACCTAACCGCGCACCTCCGGCCCCATCCACTACAACCTCGTGTCAAGAATTGTGTCCATCTATCCACGTACCTGCACTCTCGTCCACTACAACTTGGCTGTGGCGGCAGGAGTGGCACTAGTGACCCATCTACCCACGTATCTACGCCTCTGCTACAGCTACTGGGTAGCAGTGGCAGCGGCGTGATGAAACGATAGCCCCCGTTTGATATTGGGCCGAGAGAGAGTTCCGAATAAAGAGGTAGGATCCAATACCGCTCCCTGTCCACCTTCTGATGCTTCTATATTGGCTTTGGTGCCTGGGATATTCCTCGCATAGTCCGCTCCGCCGATGAGGGGCATTTGCTCCTTAAGAGAAGATACACTAAGGGTTAAACTCGCCATCGGACTGGCCCCGTGGCTTAGGGCTTTTGAGCTTCCAATATTAAACACCATCTTCAGCACTTAATCGCATTCCTGTTACGGTCGACTTTTAATATGATTCCAATAGCCTGGCGGGGCAAGGAAGCTAAAGACAACTAATATCTGAGGAATTTCCAATGAGTTTTTCCCCCGTACGAAGATCGAAGCCTGCGCAATGGCGGCGTTTAGGTTATCACATGCAGGGAGAGGCCAGCCAGAGGGCGGGCAGGGCTCCGGGAGCAGCCGGGACAACCATATTCATAAATGATACAAGAGCGATGCTCTTTTTGTCGTACGAGGAGTAGCTTCTTGGCGTATCTATACATTCTCTAGGAGTAACTTTACCCACTATCACTACAGGGAGGGGGGAGTTAGTGTTATATTTTGAACTTGAAGGTTCTCGTGGGGAAGTGAGGGGAGACGCAGGAGGGAGGACGCGGCGGGGGTCCTACAATCGGGCGGTCTTGAGGTTA